TACACTCATTTTATAGGTATATTGTTTTTTGTCTGCCTAACTTTCTGCCTCATAAAGCAAAGCTGGTCTCACAGCTGTCCTATAGAACTTACCCTTCAGCTTCATTGGTATACGACAATCACATAAAGTTCCAGTTGCACATCTCTACTTCGCCCACCGAGCTCTAATTCTATGTGAACATCTTCTTCAATCTCTCCATTTTCTTGGATTATCAACTCAAGGTATTGAAAGTGCAGTCTTTTTTGTACTTCCTGGCTGTCAATCTTAACTACTTCCTCGTCTCTACTCCTATTACTACTAAACTTGCATTCCGTATACTCTATTTTAGTCAGGCTAATTTTAAAACATTTGGATTCTAGAGTATCCCTTCAGAGTTTAAACTTTGTGTTGACGCCGTTTCGGGTCTCATCGATCAAAACTATGTCATCTGTGAATAACATGCACCATGGTACCTCATCCTACAGGTGTCTAGTTAAGTCGTTCATAACTAAGACAAAGAGATACGGGCTCAATGCTGACCCTTGATGTAGACCTATTGTCATTGAAAACTCACTCGTCTCTCCACTAGTTGTTCGCACACTAGTTAGCACTCCATCGTACATTTCTCTTACCAAGTCGATGTAGCGTCTGGAGAATATTTTCTTTTTCAAAATCCTCCAAATCAAATCTCGAAGTACTCTATCAATAAGCTTTCTCTAGGTCAATAAAGATCATGTGGAGGTTGAGAGAGTTGATATGGGAGAGAAAATCTCTGTGTCGTTAATCTTTCATTTGTAGGGCAGGGAGTTACCCCCAAAGTGTTTAAGGGTAAATGACCCTAAACATTGCTAAAATGACCATAACTTCAGGCTATCTTGCGCAAAAATAAAACTATGGCATAGACAGATAAATAAACAATTTGTATGTATAAATGCACTTACATACACATCTATTATGCATGTAAGATTGTGTCTAAATGTAGGTATATGTCTTTGTCTCTGTATAACACAAACATGTTCACATATATGCATTGTTTGAAAATTCAGCCGCCCAACTGCCTAGGCGCCCGGGAAGCCAAAATGCCTAGGCAGAGCCAACGTGGGCACCTTAGGTGTCCATGCTCCTAAGCACTCACCTAGGTGGCCAAGGTGCCACCTAGGAGGTCACCTCAAGGCGGGTGTTTAGGTGGCACCTTGGAACAACTTGGCCGATGGAGGGCCCTCAGCCAAGGGCAAAAAATTACTCCCCACCCCACCCCCTAAAAAAACACCAACCAAAAAAATGGGGAAAAAGGGTTTTGGGTAGGGGGCAATCTAGTCCCCAGACCCCAAAAAGGCTTTAAGCCCCCCTAATAAACTTATAAAAAGGGCTTACAAGTGTTGGGATTGTATCACTAATTTTTGGCAGCTAATAATGGAAACTAATGGTTAATTGGGAGAAATTAATGGTTAATTTAAGGAATTAAACTTGTGACTTCCGTTGATGATTTCAAAAAGATTGCTTCTTTTATTCTTTAAACGTGATTTTGAAATGATAAAAGGCACCCGTCTCGATATGTGGTACTAAATGTGCAAGGGATCCTCACAAATTAGATTAGTTGAATGTTTTGATTAAACGGGTGACTACGAATCAGTGCAATATATTGTTTCATAATACGCAACAAAGAATTTGTGTGAAAAGAAAAAAATGTATTGTGTATGTATTTGAAGTTATTGGAATATTGCTGTTTGAAATAAATAGACTTCAGTGCAAAAAAAGAAAAAAATGCTTATGTTTGAAATAAATAGACTATATCCGAGGTGTAACATATGCCTGCACCCCCCCAAGGTGAAGTTGTTTCTGGGCACCCACCTAGGCGGCCAGGACCCCAAACCTAATAGGCGGATGCCTCCACCTTCTTGAGCATTGTGTATATGCACACATGAATATGCATGCAAATCTACTGCCAAAGACAAAATTCACATAGTTTAAAACTTGAGATTTGGCCTAGGGAGCTGCCTAAATACAAGACCACCATTAAAAAGAGTGCAGACAAAAAGTGGCACAATGGAATAAGAGAGTAAACCATATAGTAACAAAAGTAACATCTCCTTAAAATCCATATAGGAGTTACAGGCCAGCAGACGAACTTAAATTCATGAAAAATGCAATAAGAAAGTAATCCATAAGGCAAGAACACCAATATCTCGAAATATCTATATATAAATTGACAGGCTAGCAAAACTACTTACATATCATGAAAAAGACAGGTTAAAAGTAGGCTATGTTTCTGACTTTGAAGCATAATAAAAACAAAATGTCAACCCTACGTTGAAAAAAGAATCAGAATAGCATGGAGGGATAAGTATCAAAAGATTCAGTATAATGAAAGAAGCTCTCACAGACCATTGGTTTATCATAGAAAGGAAAGCTCTGCATTTGGCGTACTGCAGCACTGGCAGCGGTAATTTCACTGAATACAACCCAAGCCTGCCCTCGAAGCTTGGGTGTCTTTAGAGCAACAACATCCGAAATCCTTCCAAATTGAGAAAATAAAGCATAAAGAGATCTCTTCAACTCTGAAAAAACCAAGACACAAGTAGTCAAATTACAAAATACGTAGATAATTAATTTGTCAAATTTACTCAAGCAGCAAGATGTGAAGAGCCTAAGCCATGCATTATTCCACTTCTATCATTTAGAGAGCAAAAATTATCAACAGAAAATACACAAGAAATTTCCCTTTAAATGCATCTTAAAAATTTTAGGTAGGAGATAAAGGAAAGTTTTATTTTGGTTTTAATTAAGAACAAAAAAAAGAGAGTAAATAAACCAAAATGTGCCAAAATATCAAATAGAACAATGCTCAAAACAAGCTAAAAATCTCTCAAATATTCATGCTCAAAGAGACATAATTATTTTATTTCTCTAACAAACTATAGGAACAATTGAGATAATCATTTAAAGATGAGGCAAAACTTATGTAACCTACAAAAAACCTATATGCAAAAAGTTGCATAAGGCTAGGAGCCACAAAGATAAGTCTTCTCCATACATTTTTCTTTTAATGCCCAGTTTAATGAAAATACGCAGTTTCTTTTAAAAGCAGGCAGCATTTGTACATCAGTATTGATATTTATCACTTCCATACACTGGCAACTAATCTGTTCCAGTATAAACCATATATTTTATCCTAATTTCAATATTACGAAATGGGAGTAACAAAGCAACCTTATCATGAATGTTGCCGGAAAGATAAACCCAAATGGATTAAAAAATAAATAAATCAGCACAATGTTTGAAAATATATGCCTGATCATGAAGAATTCCGTATCGGTGAAAAACAATGTTTATGCACCCAAACACAAAAGCTTAGGAACTTTAATGATAGGAAAAGACTTAGAACATAGTCGCTGGAATCTCCCAACATGGGTGGCGATTGCTCTGGAATCTTGCTCTGTGGCTCCAAAAAAAGGATTTTCAAGGACCTCGATTTTTTTATTTTGGGATCTCAATCCCCACTGTTAAGAATCCCGATTTCTACTGTTAGGGATCTCGATCCCAACCTTATAGACTAAGATAACAACCAAGATAATGATTTTCTTAATTTATAGCCAACTAGTAGTATAATTATGCTTTTAATATAGTTGCAATGCTTGATGGCTCTAAAAAAAGAGATCCCCACTTTAAAAAGCATATATAATCCAAGACTATATATACTCTTTAATGTTAGGAGCAAGATCCTCAAAAAGTTGGGATCAAGATCCCAAAAGGTCGGGATCGAGATCCCCAGGAGGTTGGGATCTCGATCCTTAATATTTGGGGATCTAGACCCCTAACATGTACATTATACAGATAGTGCTCCCAACCATAGGGTTCTTTTAGCATTTCACGATGCCTTGTTCCCGCACCTGCTCCCAACAACTATGGCTTAGAAACTCTAATGATAGGGAAACAATAAAGAGGCATGAACATTTTTTTGCAAAAAGTCGCATCACTGACAAATTTTATGCTACCAGTTAAAGAATAACAATGCAAACGTATAATGACGATGGAATTAGAGGCAAGCTAATGGTGAGTATACAAATAAATTGACAGTGTAGGATAGAGTTCAGTGTCTAAAAATTTGTTGATCTGGATTAAAAATTGTTGATACATATGGGGTCTGTAGGAGTCCAATTTAGAGGGACTTGCTTGGTTCCGTCGGAAAAATGGGCAAGTTTGCGAGCGAAGGGCGATCTGGATCTGCCGATCACCCAATTCCTACCCAATATACTTTTCAAGTTTTTTTATTTTTAATTATTACAAAATAGAAAAACAATAATTTAATATTCTCCAGATTGGCCAAGAGATTCACGAATCTAGATCAAGAATCGCCACTCCTTATTAGCCCAATGACATGCATGTTTACATGGCCAATCTAGGTTTCTAAACACTTCAAGCCAATCATATGCAACCCAGATTGGGATCAAGACACAACATGGACATATTTAGAGTCAATTCAAGACTTGGACTTAGAGTGTCTCAACAAAAGCATTATAATAGCAGCTAAAAACCGCACAAGAGCTAAAATTTAATTTTAAAAAAAGACCCTCAAATGGGTTTTAAATGGATGAAGAAATGGGGGGGGGGGGAGAGAGAGAGAGAGAGAGAGAGAGAGAGAGAGGAGGAGAGAGAAGTAGAAGTAAGAACTAACAAACTAAGAAGTAAAGAAACAAGTAGTATATATAGAGTAGGTAGGTAGAACGGAAGGAAGGTAATAAGTAACTAAACTAAAGTAAGTAAA